TCATCACAGTCATTAACATCTTAGTAGATGTGTTGTGGTTCATAATTGGGCTTCAGCAGCTCGGACAGTTTGATTGATAATATTTCTCCACTGGTCGCGGTCATCAGTTATATGTATTGCCTCAGTATACTGTTTATTGAGAAGCTTTTTAGTAATGTCCGCCCATCGCTGTGGAGATCTTCCGCGTTGGCGTTGAGTCTGAGGCCTTCCTTGGACCACCAACCGCTCCATTTTGTGATCACTTCGATGGATATGGCCAAAGAACTTTATGATGATAACATAAAAGTAGTAATAAGACTTTTTAATTCAATATATAACACCGGAGTGATTCCAACATATTGGCTCAAATCCATCTTTTTTACAATACCTTAAATACACAATGCGAGAAACTGCTCAGAATATCAATTATTAGAATATCAAATATCAAATGCTAATTAGATTTTGAAGATACCCAATTTGGTTTTAGAAATGCTATGGGAATCAGGGAGGCACTTTTTGCGCTTAACATCCTATTACAAAAATGCCGTGACCAAAGAAAATATGTATTTGCATGTTTCGTGGTCTTCGAACAGGCATTCAATAAAGTACAGCATGTAAAATTGATGCAAAAACTAAAAAATATCGGAAGAGATGACAAGGATACCCGTGTTATTAAAAATGTGTACTGGAATCAAACTGCTATCGTAAAAATTGGAGAAAACTACACCGATGAAATCTCCATACAACAAGGAGTCAGACAAGGTTGCATTTTGTCGCCAACATTGTTCAATGTTTACTGGGATCAGTAATTTAAAAAGGCACTTAAGAGACAATCATATGGAATAAAACTCAACGGGGAACTACTTTTAGGGATTAGATATGCAGACGATACAGTCAGTGTGTCAGATAATATTGAAGGTCTCCAAATTCTGCTTGATCGTATTCACGAGGTGGGAGATGAAATGGACATTAAAATAAACTCAAACAAAACCCACATTTTTAATATTTAGTCGTGACCACATTCCGATGCAAAGCTTCTATTAAACGGAATTCAAGTTCAGAAAGTTCACAAAATGACATATTTGGGAACTGTGATAACGGACCAACTAGATCCAGATATAGAAATAAAACGTAAAATAGCAATGACTAAAACTACTTTTGTGAAAATGAAGTAATTTCTTTGCAATAATCATCTCAGTTTATAACTAAGACAAAGAATGGTTAAGTGCTATATTTGGTCTGTACTTTTGTATTGGATAGTGCAGAAGTGTGAACGCTAAAAGTATCAATCATGAACAAAATTGAAATGTGGGTTCATAGACGAATACTGAAGATACCTTGAACAGCAAGGAAAACTAATGAAAAAGTACTACGGAGCGTCAACAAAGATAGAGAACTGCTAAAGACTGTTAAACATCAAAAAATGTCTTATCCGGGACATAAAATAAGGGGAAGTTGATATAAAATATTACTGATTCTGAGGGCCGTAGAGGTGTAGGAAGAAAACAAGTTTCTTGGTTAAAAAACATTCGTAAATGGACTAAGACATCAAATGCAGGACAATTATTCCATATTGCAGAAAATCGAGAAGCCTTCGCAGTGGTGATCGCCAAAGCCGGATAATTTTGATATGGCACGCGAAGAACAAGATGTAGTTGTGTAAAGGTTTACGCTCGTACTTAAATTCCAAGTGATAATATCTATATAGCTGCACTATGATTTTACCACAATTAATGAACTATTTACTAGTCCAAGCCCGAAGATACTCGCTTTTCACTCTCGGAAAATAGAAACATTTGATGTTGATGCAAACGTAGATATTGCATTTGAATCAAATTTTATACATAAATAAGTGGATAATCTGATTTGAAATTGAAATAAATAAGTTTATTTTTAAACAAATCAATCATTTATTGCTTACTAATATGTTTTTATGTAAAAATTCTACGTAATACGCTTTGATAGAACAAGTAAAATGGGAACAAAATGACTAATTTCAAACGCTTATATCTTAGTCAATTAAAAAAAAAACTTTTAAAGCCAAGTGTTTTAACGAAAGATTTTCCAATATTGTTTTTCATTGTTAAAAAGAATAAGTCCATTGCTAAGTATTTTTATTGTAAACTTAAATACAACTAAAATACAAAAATTATTTAATTTTATTAAAATAAATCATCTATCCTAAATCTTTGTATACTGTGTGATCTTGGTGACAAAGTGTTATATTTATTATTATATGAAATAACAAAAAAATCATTTAGAAAAATAAGAGATAGCCGTAAGCTCACATGTGAAAATTATTTACAAATATATAGGGTTTTCTATAACTCTTTACCGCATCAAAGATATGTTTATTTTTAATAAAGCACCCCATATTTTGTTTTCAATTTGCTCTATTTGGTCATTACAAGAATATATTGTTTCTTGTGTTATACAGGGTATTTAAGTTCAACGCCCTGTATAATTCAAAAAGAGTAAAAAAGCAATGACCTGTTGTAGCTACAGTTTTTAAATGAATATCTAGGCATCACATTATCTAACTACGGAGAGCTCGAAACCAAAGTGGAAGATCAAGTGAATAGAGCAAACAGAGCCGCAAGCTGCCTAAATGAAACAATATGGAGAAATAAAAATATCAGGAAAGAAACGAAAGGCAGAATTTACAAAGCAGTCATCAGACCAATAATGACACACGTGGAAGCTTGGAAACAATTTAAAGAAAAGATCGTGACGAAAGCAAAAGAAACGTGTGGAATAAGCCATGTAAACAGAAATAAGAAGCAAACACGATGGTGGGACGATGAATTAAAAGCCCAAATAAAATATAAAAAACAGAAATGGAAAATATACTTAAACAAGAAAACAGAAAATAGTGATGAAGAATATAAACGACAAAGAAAGGTGGTGAAAGAAATGGTGCTGAAGAAGAAGAAGGAAGCCTGAGATGAGTTTGGAATGAAGATGGAGGCAGATAGCCGGGCTAATAAAAAATTGTTTTACAAGGCACTAAAGGCGCTAAGAAAAGGTAAAGAAACAACGATGAAACAGGTGAAACGTAAAGACGGCACACTGATTACCAGACCAAATGAGATTATGGAAAGATGGAGACAATACTTCAGCGAACTCCTAACATTAAGACAGTCGAAAGAGGAAACTGTAACGATAGAAGTAGAAGGAGAACATGAACAAGAAAATTATATTCAAATAGAAGAAGTTAAAAAAGCAATTAACAACACAAAGAGAGGTAAATCGGCTGGTCATGACAAAATCACTGCAGAAATGTTAAAGACAATGGGACCGAAAGGAGTTGTATTGTTAATCAAAATTATGAACGTGGCTTGGAACCGATGTACAGTCCCCGAAGATTGGAGAATTGGCATAATACTACCAATCCTTAAGAAAGGAGACCCAAGTTCTTGTGAAAATTATAGAGGAATTAATATACTAAGTATCGTCTCCAAAATATATGAAAGCATCCTAGAAAAGAAATTAAGACACATCGTTGAACCACATCTTGATGAAGTACAAAGTGGGTTTAGGAAGGGACACAGTACGCAAGACCATAATATATTTACGTTGAAACAAATAATTAAAAAAGCTAGAATAAAGAACACAGAAATATATATGGATTTTCTAGATATTGAGAAAGCATTTGACAGAGTGTCCCAGGAAGCAGTTTGGAAAAGTCTGCAAAATAGAAATATTGACCATGAACTAACAGGTGCTATCAAAAGTCTGTATCAAAATAACAAGAGTTATGTACGTAAGGATAACTTGGAATTAGAGATGTTTGCAATAACCGAGGGTCTAAGACAAGGAGGTGTTATGAGCCCACACTATTATATTGATTATTGACGACATAATTAAGGAAACAAAAGCAAGTATACACAAAGTACATATCGGATATAGTAAACTACGACCGGTTGGTATAGCTGAGTGTGCATTCGCAGATGATCTCATGTTATGCGCTTCCAACGAAAGAGACCTCCAGAAAAATATAGATAGCTGGAATAATGAGCTGGCGATTAGAAATATAAAGATTAATGTTAAGAAAACCAAGGTGATGCTAGAGCGAAAACTAACCGAATGTTAACATAGAAATTAACCAACAACTCATAGAACAAGTTCAAATACCTAGGGGTTAGAATAGACAGAGAAGGTACCATGCAGAATGAAATAACAGAAAGAATAAGTAGTGCTTCAAAAGTATACCATCATCTTAGTAGAGCATTCATAGGTAAACCGGAAATCAGCAGAAGAACCAAAATGACATTTTATAAGACAGTATTCCGACCAATCTTGATATATGGAAGCGAGAGCTGGGTTTTAACAAAGCAATTAAAAAGCATGAAATATTTAAAACGAGTCAAATGAATAACACGACGAGACAAAATAAGAAATGAAAATGTTAGAGAAGAACTGGGCACAGAATCCATACTACATGCTATTGAAACACAACACATAAAATGGTTTGGTCATTTGTGCCGAGTGAGCGACAACCGACCTGTTAAGCAAGTCTGGAAGGCTAAAGTAAAAAGGTTTAAAACCAGAGGCAGACCACGGAAAACCTGGGATGACGAAGTAGGGCAGGTTTTGACAAGTAGGGGATTGGAATGGCCAGAAGCTCAAAATAAGGCAAAAACAAGAAAGAATGGACAAAAGTCGTGCACAGAATAGAATAAAAAAATTCTGTATTTTCATTGGATTTGAGTATATATATATATATATATATATATATATTATATATATATATATATATATATATATATATATATAATATATATAATAAAATGTGAAACTTACAGCTACCTTCTATTGTTGGAGATATCTTTTGTTTTGATATCTCCTAAAATAACAGATATAACCGACTACACAAAAATTTATCACGTTGTATAAGGCATTAAAATAACTTGCGCTTAAAACGACGTGGCTCCTGACCAGCTCCTTTCAAGTCACAAGGAAAAGAAAATCTTGACATTGACTAGAAAATATTCACTTAATACATCTAAAGCAGCCCTAACTTATTTAATGCGAGAATCATTATTGGAATCGTCGCATTTACAGGATTTGTGATTTTGCACTTCAAATATCTTCAAATAGCCAGATGGTCCCAAGTTAAATACCAACTTTACTGGTTCTGTTTCATTTACTGTGCACCTTTCTCCATATTTTGAACATCCTCCGCTTCCTTCGCATCTGTAAAGAATAGTGTGCAAGGGTCTTATCTGAAACAAGTATATATTTATATTTACATCAGTATAGAGAAAACATTAAAATATAGATATTTAATTTCTATTGGGATTTGAAACATATAACAGGAAAAGAAAGATTGTATTAAATGGAGAAGTACAATACCAATGTAAATGATTTTTGTTGGGTTGAAATATATGTTAAAAAATTAATGACAAACAAATGAAAGAGAAACAACGAAAATCAAGGGAAGACAATGGTCCGGATATAATTTTTTTCATAAACCATTATGATCATTGTAAACACAATGCTCGAACATCATACCCGTCGTTTATCGACGTGGACCAGCCCAAATGGAGAATACAAGAACCAAATCGACTACATATTGATTAGAAACAGATGGAAGACATGTTTTACAAACGTAAAAACTAAACCAAAAGCTAAATGTGGATCCGATCATAAATTGTTATGGGCACAATGCCGCACCAAAATCAAAACAAGCTGGAGATTTCAAATCAGAAATCGTTTAGAGATACATTAAAGGAAACTAAGCTTGTTAAACACACAAGACAATCCAGAAGAAATGTGGAAAGGTTTCAGAAATGCCATAGAAACCTCTGTAAAAAGAACCAGAACCGAAAAAAGGATCATTAAAAGAAAACACTGGATGACAGACAGAACGTTGCAACTTCTCGAAGAGTGAAGGAGAATCAAATCTCTCATATATTAAAATGACAGCAACAAAAACGAATTAGCAAGGTTAAATAGAAAAATTAAAAGAGCATGTAGGGATGATAAAAATAAACATATAAATGATGAATACCAAGAGACATGCAAATTGGTATGCATGTATGGAGAAAATATTGTCAAAGTCTATATGCAGATGATCCCCAGAATGCAAATCACGACGAGTTCACTGCAGAGAGAGAACCAAACATTCTAAAGTCAGAGGTGGAAAATGCAATCAAAAAGTTAGAAAATAGAAAATCTCTTGGTGCAGACCAGATCACCGCAGAAGTTTTAAGAGAGACTGGAGATGTTGGAGTAAATGTTATGCATATGATCTACAAAAAGATTTGGGAAACCGGAGAGTGGACCAACGACTGGACAACATCCACTTTTATCCCTATATTCAAAAAGGAACTCCGTTAAATTGCAGTAACTACAGAACGGTAACCCTAATATCCCATGCAAGCAAGGTTCTACTTCATTTATTACATGAAAGACTAAAAGCTTTTCTATTGCCTTAGATATCCAAAGAACAAGCGGGATTTGTCCCAGCAAAAGGCACAACAGAACACATCCTTAATGTCAGACAGCTAATCGAAAAAACTCGTGAATTTAATACTCCTATGCTTATGTGCTTTATGGATTACACAAAGGCCTTCGATAAAGTCAAATGGCAGCAGCTGTGGTACATATTAGCGCAAATGGGAACACCCCACCACTTAATTCAACTAATTAGAAGTCTATATGAAAATAATAAGTGCATAATAAAAATAAACAACACCCATTCCGATCATTTTAGAACAGAAGTAGGTGTCAAGCAGGGATGCATAATCTTGCCAACTCTGTCTAGTGTCTACAGCGAATACATTATGCAAAAGGTACTAGACGAATGGAAGTGTGGAATATCAGTGGGAGGTCAAACAATCAGAAATTTATGATATGCTGATGACACTTTAATAATCGCGGCAAATCAAGAAGAAATGGAAGACATAAAGAGATGCCTGGAGGAGAAAAACAAAGCATATGGACTAAAGTTAAATAAGAGTAAGACAAAGATCATGATAGTAGATAAAGCTCGGAATATTCTTCAACACATTAAAGAAATTGGGGGCTTTGAAGTAGTAAATAGTTTCATCTATCTGGGGTCCCTAATAACAAATGACGGAGGGTGTTACAGAGAGATACGTAGAAGATTGACTATTGCTAGAACAGCTATGTTGCAACTGGTAACAATTTGGAAAAAATTTAGCATAACAATACACACAAAACTAAGGCTGGTAAGGGCGCTCATTTTTTCCCATAGCCACATATGCATCTGAAACGTGGAAAAATACAACAGAGATATTTGCAGTATTTGCAACTGATAGTCGAGGGTAGAGTTAAAGGAAAGAGACCTAGGGGAAGATTTCTAAGGCGTTGGGTAGATCAAAAAAATATATTGATTAACCAAGGGTTACATGAAGCCGAAGAACTAGCCCAGAATAGGGAAGGATGAAGGGAAATCGTTAAAAAACTGTAAAGGCCTAATGGTGTCACCACATCCCAAAAGGGATTAGGACTGAGGAGGAGGAGGATAACGATAGCCTAAGAGAACAAAGCTAGATTTATACATTCACATTACCCATTCTATCCTAAATTTTTCTTTTAGTCCTTTTTAAATATCCCCAAAAAATTTGGTTAAGCCTAATATTACGACGTGAGATACATAAAACAGATGATTGATGCTGAGGAAGAGGTATTTATTCTTTTATCAGATTTTATAATAGATACTTAATAGCAGCATTATTATATATGCACCCGAACATCTAGTGATTGATATCGCCAGTGTTACCATTACAATCGCAAAGTTCTGTTTTACTTAATTTATGGAGCAAACCATGGTCGAATCAGTTCTTTGCTATGGCTCAGAAGTATAGACAATTAATACAGACCTGAAGAGAAGATTGGTGACAGTTGAAATGGATTATTTGAGAAGAAGTGCTAAAATATCAAGGCTGGAAAGAAAGATCAACGAATTTATAAGAAATAACATGAAGGCTACGTCATTTACAGAATAGCATGAAGATGTTTAAAATGGTTTGGACACCTAGTTATAATGCCTAACGAACGTTGGCCCCAAAAACTTCACAGATGGAAGCCCCCTGGAAGAAAAAAAGGGGTAGACTTAAACGCTCATGGAATGAAGGAATTAGAAGAGCGATGGATACGAGAGGTTTGGAGGAGGAGCATGCCTTGGACCGGGAGGATTGGTGGATGAGAACGGGAATACTGAGATAGCTGTCTCCAAAAGTACTGTACGTACAAATTGTATCCTGTAATATATGAAAAAAGAAGTACTTGTGACTCCTTTGGAAAAAATATATTAATATGTTTTGGATGGGTTGGAGTCAATAAAAGGGGCTTTCAGGTAACTATTTTTTATCTCGAGCTTTCAATTACGTTTACAATCATTTTCTAAAAGAGCTTTAGAATTAAACCATTTCTATTAGCAGACGTGATAATAATTTAAACAAAAGATCGAAAATTCTAAATCTAAGCAAAATTTATAAGTATATTATTTCTCTATAGTTTATTTATAAAACCAGTAAATTACTACTAATTATTACACTTTAATTTAATTTTCCATATACTTGTTACATTTTTTCAGACATCTATCAATGATGAATAAATCTTCTTGTTTATTACTAAATAAAAAATAATTTTTAAACAAAATTTTAGTTTTTGGTAATATAATTGTCAAAAATGAAAAATGTAAGTTGGCATTCATGACATTGAGGCCTATTTGTAATTGGTCGCTATTCAAACTATTTTATAAATTCAATTGTTTTTGTGTTAAAAAGTCAAAAAATTCAACAGATAATCTAAATTTTAAAATAGTATTTTGAAATGTGTTTAGCAGTATAAGGGACAGGGGAAAAACGATGAGAGTCAAAATTATATTAACTTTCAATTGTAGATGGCAACCTGTAGCTTAGTTCCAATAGTAAACGACTGTGGCATTGGTTTTGGGAATCATGCTGAGAGTCAAGGGATATTAACGGTGAAACAAAACAAGCAAGAGGGAAAAATGATGAGCATCAGTTCAGTTGTCATCAGATGTCAGTTGCCGCAGATGACAGAACGATGGTAGTCTAACGTTTCGTTGCGTTGTGCGTTCACTTGTGTGTTTTGAGGGTTACTATGTAAGTATTGTTTACTTGATATTAGTTTGTTTACTTCAAATTATGAAGTTGGTAGAGGAAACGGACCAAGTGCCGAAAAAGAAGCCAAAGTTAGGTAGACTTTCCGAAGTGAAGAAGAAACTATTGAAACAAAGTCATGAGGTAGGCCCGAACTGTCTTTGTTCTAGGTTAAAGTGCTTCGATGCCATAAAACCGTGTTATAGACAGCTAGTTGTCACTAAATTCAATGAGATGGAGGATTATAATGAACAGAACTTATATTTAGATGGTCTAATAACAACATCATTTATGAAACATCGCAAACCTAGAAATGAGGATCCAGATTTTCATACATATTCTTATTCCTATAAAATAAAGTATTTAGTAGATGGAAATCTTATCTTCTTCTTTAAGTTCCATCTTCTATCGAAGGTTGGAAATCATCATGGCTATGCGGACTCTGTTGACTGCCGCTCTAAAAAGTTCTGCACTACTGCATTCAAACCATTCCCTCAAGTTCTTAAGCCAGGATATTCTTCGTCTTCCCACATTTCGCTTTCCTCGGATTTTGCCCTGCATAATAAGTTGTAATAATGCGTATTTTTGCCCTCTCATCACATGTCCCAAGTACTCAAGTTTTCGTCTTTTAACAGTTAATATTATTTCCGCCTCATCCTTTCCTATCCTTCTAGTTACTTCCATGTTTGACATTCTTTGAGTCCATGATATATCGTAGGATTCTTCTGTAACACCAAAATTCAAAGGCGGCCAACTTATTCAGATGAACTTGTTTTAGTGTCCAAGCTTTCAGACCACAAAGAAGAGTAGAGAACACGTAACATCGAAGCATTCTCAGGCGTAGTTCTAACCTTATATCCCGACAACAAAGAAACTTGATGTACGTGCTATTTCAATACGTGTCTTAATTTCTTTGGTTTGGTCTACATCTGATGTTATCCATGTTCCTAAGTATTTATAGTTATTAACACTCTCAATTGCAGTATTTTCAATAGTCAATTGGATATTTGCATGTGCAGATTTAGTCATGATCATGCATTTAGTTTTCTTTAAATTTATCTTCAGTCCGTACTCATGACAGCGTTCATTAAGGCGTTGCATTACGTTCTGTAAATCATTGTTGTTAT